AAAGCACTGCTCAACAAATGCAAAACAACTGAAATCATAACAAACAGCCTCTCAGACCATAGTGCAATCAAGTTAGAACTCAGAATTCAGAAACCGACCCAGAACCGCACAGCTTCATGGAAACTGAACAACTGGCTCTTGAATGTTGACTGGGTAAACAACGAAATGAAGGCAGAAATAAAGAAGTTCTTCGAAACCAATGAGAACGAAGACACAACGTGCCAGAACCTCTGGGACACATTTAAAGCAGTCTCTAGAGGAAAGTATATAGCAATAAGTGCCCATATGAGGAGAATGGAGAGATCCAAAATTGACACCCTATCGTCAAAATTGAAAGAGCTAGAGGAGCAAGATCAAAAAAACTCAAAGCCCAGCAGAAGACAAGAAATTACTAAGATCAGAGCTGAGCTGAAGGAGATTGAGACACGAAAAACCCTTCAAAAAAATCAATAAATCCAAGAGCTGGTTTTTTGAAAAGATCAACAAAATAGACAGACCACTAGCCAGATTGATTAAAAATAAAAGAGAGAACAACCAAATAGATGCAATAAAAAATGATAAAGGAGAAATCACCACAGATTCCACAGAAATTCAAACCATCATCAGAGAATATTACAAACAACTCTATGCACATAAACTAGTAAACCTGGAAGAAATGGATAAATTCCTGGACTCCTGTGTCCTCCCAAGCCTAAAGCAGGAGGAAGCTGAAACTATGAATAGACCAATAACAAGGTCTGAAGTTGAGGCAGCAATTAAGAGCCTACCTCACAAAAAAAGCCCAGGTCCAGAGGGGTTCACAGCCGAATTCTACCAGACACACAAGGAGGAGCTGGTACCATTCCTTCTAAAACTATTTCAAACAATCCAAAAAGAGGGAATCCTTCCCAAATCATTTTATGAGACCAACATCATCCTGATACCAAAACCCGGCAGAGACCCAACGAGAAAAGAAAACTTCAGGCCAATATCCATGATGAACATAGATGCAAAAATCTTCAATAAAATATTGGCAAGCCGATTGCAACAGCAAATCAAAAAACTTATTCATCATGATCAAGTAGGATTCATCCCAGGGATGCAAGGCTGGTTCAACATACGCAAGTCTATCAACGTAATTCACCACATAAACAGAACCAAAAACAAAAACCACATGATTATCTCAATTGACGCAGAGAAGGCATTTGACAAAATTCAACAGCCCTTTATGCTAAAAACCCTCAATAAACTCGGTATCGATGGAACGTATCTCAAAGTAATAAAAGCTATTTATGACAAACCAACAGCCAATATCATACTGAATGGGCAAAAACTGGAAGCATTCCCTTTGAAATCTGGTACTAGACAAGGATGCCCTCTCTCACCACTCCTATTCAATATAGTACTGGAAGTTCTAGCCAGAGCAATCAGGCAAGAAAAAGAAATAAAGGGTATTCAAATAGGAAAGGTGGAAGCCAAATTGTCTCTATTTGCAGACAACATGATAGTATACCTAGAAGACCCCATCGCCTCAGCCCAAAAACTCCTGAAACTGATAAACAACTTCAGCAAAGTCTCAGGATATAAAATCAATGTGCAAAAATCACAAGCATTCGTCTACACCAATAACAGACTTAAAGAAAGCCAAATCAAGAGCGAACTGCCATTCGCAATTGCTACAAAAAGAATAAAATACCTTGGAATACAACTCACAAGGAACGTAAGGGACCTCTTCAAGGAGAACTACAAACCACTGCTCAACGAAATCAGAGAGGACACAAACAGATGGAGAAACATTCCATGTTCATGGTTAGGAAGAATTAATATCGTGAAAATGGCTATACTGCCCAAAGTAATTTACAGAATCAACGCTATCCCCATCAAGCTACCATTGACTTTCTTCACAGAACTGGAAAAAACCACCATGAACTTCATATGGAACCAAAAGAGAGCCCGCATAGCCAAGTCAATTCTAAGCAAAAAGAACACAGCGGGGGGCATCACGCTACCGGATTTCAAACTATACTACAAGGCTACAGTAATCAAAACAGCATGGTACTGGTACCAAAACAGAGATATAGACCAATGGAACAAAACAGAGGCACCGGAGGCAACACAACATACATACAACTATATCTTTGATAAACCTGACAAAAACAAGCAATGGGGCAAGGATTCCATGTTTAACAAATGGTGTTGGGAAAACTGGCTAGCCATGTGCAGAAAGCAGAAACTGGACCCCTTCCTGACACCTTACACTAAAATTAACTCCAGATGGATTAAAGACTTAAACATAAGACCTGGCACCATAAAAACCCTAGAAGGAAATCTAGGCAAAACTATCCAGGACATAGGAATAGGCAAGGACTTCATGAACAAAACACCAAGAGCATTGGCAACAAAAGCCAAAATAGACAAATGGGACCTAATGAAACTCCACAGCTTCTGCACGGCAAAAGAAACAGTCACTAGAGTGGATCGGCAACCAACAGAATGGGAAAAAATTTTCGCAGTCTACCCATCTGACAAAGGGCTGATATCCAGAATTTACAAACAACTCAAGCAGATTTACAGGAAAAAAACAAACAAGCCCATTCAAAAGTGGGCAAAGGATATGAACAGATACTTTACGAAAGAAGACATATATGAGGCCAACAATCATATGAAAAAATGCTCATCGTCACTGGTCATCAGAGAGATGCAAATCAAAACCACATTGAGATACCATCTCACGCCAGTTAGAATGGCGATCATTAAAAAATCTGGAGACAACAGATGCTGGAGAGGATGTGGAGAAAAAGGAACAATTTTACACTGTTGGTGGGAGTGTAAATTAGTTCAACCATTGTGGAAGACAGTGTGGCGATTCCTCAAGGCCTTAGAAATAGAAATTCCATTTGACCCAGCAATCCCATTACTGGGTATATATCCAAAAGACTATAGATCGTTCTACTATAAGGACACATGTACACGAATGTTCATTGCAGCACTGTTTACAATAGCAAAGACCTGGAATCAACCCAAATGCCCATTGATAATAGACTGGATTGGAAAAATGTGGCACATATACACCATGGAATATTATGCAGCAATCAGAAATGATGAGTTTGTGTCGTTTGTAGGGACATGGATGAATCTGGAAAACATCATCGTCAGCAAAGTGACACAAGAACAGAAAATGAAACACCGCATATTCTCATTCATAGGTGGGTGATGAAAAATGAGAACACATGGACACAGAAAGGGGAGTACTAAACACTGGGGTCTATTGGGGGGAAAAGGGGAGGGCCAGTGGGAGGGGGAGGTGGGGAGGGATAGCCTGGGGAGAAATGCCAAATGTGGGTGAAGGGGAGAAGAAAAGCAAAGCACACTGCCATGTGTGTACCTACGCAACTGTCTTGCATGCTCTGCTCATGTACCCCAAAACCTATAATCCAATAAAAAATTAAAAAAAAAAAATAATAATAATAATCTCATGGGGTGATTGTGAAAATTAAACATGTTAATATTTGTAAAGAGCACATAGTAGTCAGCCTTTAGCACACAGTAAGCCCCCACTAAAGGTTAGCTATTATGGTTTTTCATAGTTTAGCATTTGCCTTGTATGTTTCAGAATAAATTTATCATGCTTAAAAAAAAAAAAAAAAAAAAAAAAGAAATTGTATCTCCCAAAGTGCTGGGATAATAGGCATGAGCCACCGCGTCTGGCCCCCATTCTGTCACCTTTAAACTGCTGTATAGTAGTATCTCACGGCGGGGATATGCCACAATCTAACAGGGAAGGCAGTTCACCATGTTACAGCAGAATCGGGACAAGACCACAAGTCTTCTCTCTTGACTGCTGGTCTAAGGGTTCTGCTACTGAATCACTCTGTTTCTCTATTGTTACCAGCAGTTTTTAAAGAAACCCAAATCTAGTTTTAAGGAAAATTCAAAGGTATGATTCTCTCAACTTGGATTTCTTCTTCCCTCCCTCCTTTCTTCTTTCCCTTTCCATTCCAGCCTGCATGGGTTCTGTGTATACTTTGCATGACTCAGCTACAATTCCTATATTCAAGGAACTCAAAGCCTGTGCATACGTAATGATGCAAACAGAAATTACTATAAAATAGTCACTTGGTTTCCCTGTGGAAAGGAAACGTAAAAAAAGCATATTGATGTGTTAGCAAGGATCCGGGGCCTCCAGCAAGAAGAGGTTTGTTCCTTTGTTTCTTTTCTTTTTTTAGACATACAGTATCACTCCGTCACCCATAATAGTTCACAGCAGCCTCAACTCCTAGGCTTAAGTGGTCCTCACCTCAGCCTCCAAGTAATTAGGACTACATGTGTGCGCCAACATGCCTGACTAATTTTTTTTTTTAAGTTTTTTATAGAGATGAGGTTGCTATATTGCCCAGGCTGGTCTTGAACTCCTGGTCTCAAGCAATCCTGCCTCAGCGCCCCCAAAGTGCTGGGATTACAGGTGTGAGCCACTGCATTGGGCCAAAAGGAGGAGGTTTACAGAGAGAAATTTTGGACCTGGTCTCTGACAACACAGAGATAGATGAAACATTTAACCAGCAGTAATATGATCCACCTTTCCAATGGAGGCGCACAGTTCCCAGACCTGGTTTTCAGAGACTCTCTGACCTAGTTTGCTCACCAGAGATGATAAAAGGCAAACCCTAAAGTAAAAATATATCCGAATTGTAACCAAATCTGATAGCTAATAAAGCAATAAGGTATTTCTGACTGAGTAAGGCATCTGACTCACAAAACTACTAGTCTGTAAAATGAGATCAATACTTAGAAAAAAATGATGACAAGGTATTCTATAAACATGAAGCACTGCATAACAAATAATAAATCTGTTCAGAGTGATCAGTACCATCACTTTTCCTATCAATTCAGTGAAATCACTGGAATGAGGGATTAGGCACTGAAGCCAATGGATAGAACTGCCATACAGTGAAGCACTGACGTGAATCCCAACCACCCGACCCACTGACCTCATGTCGCAGCCTCCCTTGGGAAGGTCTTACCAGGGTCCCATCTGTCAGGGTACAGCCGGAGAAGCGTTTTGCAAGAAACCCCTCAAAGTTAGTTGTTCTCTGAATAGCAAAAAGCAGCAACTTCACTTCAATCTCCTTGGCTCTGGTCCGCATAATCTTGGCAAGTTCTGTCCTTCAAAACAAAGAGATAAGAATTCTATCAAATAAGCAAATCATTCATTCACGATAAGACAAAGTAAATGGCCTTGGCTTATATTCAGAGGAAAAAAATGTATGTGGTCATTTGGAACCCTGAGGTCTGTTACCAGCTTAGTCTAAAACCTGGGGAATAGAAATAACGTGTTCTAAACAATTAGAATTTTAAGGTGAAATTAGCCAGCAGGCAAACAAATCAGTTTTATAAATGCTATTTTTTTTTTTTTTTTTTTTGAGATGGAGTCTCCCTGTGTTGCCCAGGCTGGGGTGAAGTGGCATGATCACTGCAATCTCTACCTCCTGGGTTCAAACGATTCTCGTGTCTCAGCCTCCCAAGTAGCTGGGATTACACCACACCTGACTATTTTTTTTTTTTTTTGTATTTTTAGTAGAGACAGGGTTTCACCATGTTGGTTAGACTGGTCTCAAACTCCTAACCTCAAGCGATCGGCCTGGCTTGGCCTCCCAAAGTGCTGGGATTACAGGTGTGAGCCACCGCTAATCTGTTTCCATGGTTACTACATTGCCCGTATCTTTAATCTGTTCAATAATTGGATAATAATACATATGGGAGCACCTAATTTTTTATTAGTGTGTATAGCCTAGTAAGTTCATAAATCATGAATTACTGAATAACAAGGCCCTCCCTTCTCCTGAGGGCCCAATAATCATCTCTTCAACTAGAAAGCAAGAGCCATGGAAATGCACGCCAGGAACAGGAATCCCCGTGAGAAAGTGCCAGCAGGCTTAGCTGGCCCCTGCCTGAGGCACTCATGTGCAGCTCTCTCAAGTACTACGTTTCAGAAGGTCAGCTGCTAGTGAACAGCGACATGTGAGTTCTTAGTAAGGACTAAGCTATCATCATCTTCCCACAAAAATACATGACAAAATCAAACCAAGGGTCTCTGAGTTTGAGAATGATGTATCTGTAGGATTTTATCCAAAATTCTAACAGTAGAAGCTTGGCAGCAACACTACATTAGCTGAGACAACAAGAGCAGGTACCAGTGCTCACAGAGACGGTGGGCTCTAGCATACGCCCAGTCTCTTTCAAACTTCATTCCTCACAGAGCTGCTTTTCAAGTCTGCTGAACTGTGGGCTAAAAAGGAATTAGCTAACAGTTTCTCAAGGAACTCACTCTTTATTTTGCTAACTGGGATTCAGAAGGTGACAATCTCAACTGATCCTAAACCAGAGCTAAAAGGTTCTCTAAATCTACAGGAGTCAATGTGTTTCTTTTTCTTTCTTTCTCTTTCTTTTCTTTTCCTTTTTCCTTCCTTCCTTCCCTCCTTCCGCCCCCACCCCCGCTTTCTTTTTCTGAGAAGGGTCTCACTTGGTCTCCCAAGCTCAAGTGCAATGGCATGATCATGGCTTACTGCAGCCTTGACCTCCTGGACTCAAGCAATCCTCCCATCTCAGCCTCTCTGGTAGCTGGGATGAAAGGTGCTTGGCAACATGAACAGCTAATTTTTGTATTTTCTCTAGAGGTGGGATTTTGCCATGTTGTCCAGGCTGGTCTCAAACTCCTAGACTCACATGATCCACCCGCCTTGGCCTCCCAAAGTACTAGGATTATAGGCATTAACTGCCGAACCTGGCCCGATGTGTTTCTTACAACAAGAGCCACAAAGAACAGAGCTGAGTGCACCTGCAGTTGCAGCTGCTCGGGTGGCTGAAGCAGGCAGGTTGCTTGAACCCAGGAGTTCAAGGCTGTAGAGCACAATTACCACGCCTGTGAGCAGCCACTGTACGCCAGTGTGGGCAACACTGCGAGACGCCCGTCTGAAAGCCACAGACTGTATGCTAACACCAAGCGTGAACACTGGCACAAACTGCAGACCATTGCTCTGGGAAGACTGTGTGCTGACACCAAGCGTGAACACTGGCATGAACTACAGACCATCACTCTGGGTGATGATGGTATGTCAGTGAAGCTTTGCTAGCTGTGATAGATGTACCACTCTGGTGAAAGGTGCCAACCACAGAGGGACTAGGCAAGGGGCAGGAACACATGGGACTCTCTATCTGCTGCTCCACTCTGCGGTGAACCTAAAACCACTCTAAAAATAAAATCTACTTTTAAAAAAGCCAGTATCCCTTGAAACAAAATGTGTTTCAACAATGTGTTTACAACATGCAATTTGACTGTACTTTCCACGATTTTAATATAACAGACCACCATTGTGGAAAGGTGGTTGAGTTATGCTTAGATATGGGCTTTTTTTCTTATTAACCTGGAGTTAAATGTAATTGTGTACTACTGGGAGGAAATAAATAACTAGTAAGACCCAGTTACCAACACTGTTGTAGTATAGCTAGAAATAAAGAATAAAAAAGTTCAAGACCAGCCTGAACAACATAGCAAAACTCTGTCTCTACAAAAAATACACACATAAAAATTAACTAGTGTGGTGGCACACACCTGTAATCTCAGCTACTCGGGAGACTGAGGTGGGAAGATCACTTGAGCCTGGGACATCAAGGCTGCTGTGAGACATGATCACGCCACTGCACTCCAGTCTGGGTGACAGAGACCAGGGTCAAAGAAAAAAAGTCTGACTCTGGCTTTAGCTTTGAGCTTTGTCATGGATACACGGATCTGATCTTCCTGGGCTTTAGTTTTTTTAACATAAAGTGACTATCTGTTCTTGGGGCTATATTCATGGATACCATAGAGACGACGAATGAAAGAAGGTCATTAAAATGCTTGAAAAGCTCAGACACAGGCTAGGTGCGGTGGCTCACGCCTATAAACCCAACACTTTGGGAGGCCAAGATGGGTGGGCAGATCACTGGAGGTCAGGAGTTCAAGACAAGCCTGGCCAACATGGTGAAACTCCATCTCTACTAAAAATACAAAACTAGCCAGATGTGGTTACACACACCTATAATCCTTGACACTTGGGAGGCCGAGGCATGAGAATCACTTGAACCCAGTTGCAGTGAGCTGGGATTGTGCCACAGCAGCACTCCAGGCTGGATGATAGAGTGAGACTCTGTCTCAAAAGAAAGCTCTATTAACTATCCAGAGGCTATTCACACTGTATTAGGAATAGGAAATTCATTCAACAAATGTTTCCTCAGTGCCTGCTGTATCATTAAAGTAAATACTACCCCTGACTCAAAGGAACTATCTATCTAGCAAGTCAGAAAATGAAAACGATGATGGGATATATACACAGTACACTGATATATGCGAAACCAATTAGGGGAAAACATGGGGTAGAAGAATCACTGTAAGTCGATCCAGTTGATAAGCCTTCAGTTGGTGTAGAAGGTAGACTGAGGCACGAACCACACCAAAGGAAAGTCCCAGAGCAAAGATGGGAGCAGAGGGGAGCAACCGAGGGGCCACAGTTGGGTATGAGGATGGTATCAATCATCTGGTGGGGTCTGGAAGTGGCACTGAATCCACAGGACAACATGGAACCATTAAGAGTCTGGGGGACTGATGGTGAAAATTCCATTAACAACAGAACCAGTAGAGAATTGGCATCTACCTTGTCACATGGCAAAATTCTACTGCAATCCTCTCAGCCATGTACCACTCACGTGGAAACATGCAGCCGTATTTCTCCTCATAGTCCACAAGCTGGCGTTTTATCCAGGCGTAGCGTCTGTCGATTTTGTCCAGCCAGGCAACCTGGTGAAGGTGGGTAACAGAAACTACCCCATAGTTAGAAGCAAAACTGAAAGTTTAAGGAAACAAGCACAGAGCCAAGCAAAAGGGAACCAATCTCCGTATTTCTCACGGCTTTAAAGAATCTGGGCTACCTTTTTTACTTGATTTTTAACTTCAAAATCCAGAGGTTTTTAACCTAGGGTCATGATTGGGCTTCAGGGGTCTATACATTTCCAAACACCATCTGCAGAGTTTTATGCACAGGCGCATGTTTCTGAATTTCTCCAAAGGGTCAGTGACCTCAAAATGATTAGGAACTATCAAGTCAGCCCCTAGGGCTCACAGCTCAACAATCAACACTGTGAGACAGGAATGTTAACATAAAGTCTAAATCAGTAGGCTTGACAGCATTCATTTCTCAGTAAAACTCAAATATTACATCTGATCTTATTTGGTCAATACTTACATCTTGGTTTTCCTGAAAAAGTACTAGATACTCTGACAGATGCTGTTTAATAAACTTTTTCATAATCTCCTGCTTGATTCTGGGGTCCAAAATATTAGCAACCAGACACGCATCTCGTAGAACATTGCTGGGTCCTCCAGGTCTCTAGAACAAACAACATGTGCCAGGTTAAAAGCCAGAAACACCCTTTAACCCTCATGGCTTCTCACAATCGCTACTTCCTGTGTCTACATATTGTTGGTCTTACTCCTACTCCCCTCACACTCATTCTTTCTACTGCGGATGGTATGTCAGTTGCCTGTTCCTCGATGAAGGAATCATTACACTAGATTTACAGCAGCCAATATAAAACTACGCTGTGAATCTGCAATGAGATATTTTAGACAACAGGACTAGCAATGATCATGGGAAATTTCATTTTCTGCATGCCAAAACTGAAAGAGACCTAAAAGTCAGAATGCCACCAGTCTCTGACACTGGAAGATGCCGCTGAAGAGGCTTAAGAGCTAGAACGCCACCAGTCTTACTCTTAAGAGCTGGAATGCCCCTGTCTCATTCCACATGTACCACCTTTCCCTGATTCCAAACTCTGGAATTCATGTTCTTAAAGTGTTATATTTTCCCCAAATAGTGTGGTCGCCTTTAACATATAAAACCAGGTTCCAAGCTACTACACTTGTTTCACTGATAGTGAATGGGCAGCCAGAAAGCAAATCTTGTGACATTGGCCTCCTGACCTGAAAGAACACTGAAAAGATACCATGGGATAAACTGACACTTCATGGTGGGAAGGTTTTTGTTACCAAAGGCAATTCAATGACCAAAGTTATGCTGAGACTTTCTTTATGGTACATCACTGAATGACCGCAACTAGCTAAGTCGACTACAATAAAAACACTTGGAACCTACTCTTAGCCTGGCTAAAAAGCCATACGTGTAGCTTTGGCACACTTACTCGACCTCATCTGAAAAATAATCGACCTATAGCACCTGTAGTCCCAGCTACTCGGGAGGCTGAGACAGAAGAATCACTTGAACCTGGGAAGCAGAGATTGTAGTGAGCCGGGATCACACCATTGCACTCCAGCCTGGCAAAGAAGCAAGATTCTGTCTCAAAAAAAAAAACCACTCAAGCATAGTGGCAGGAACCTATAATCCCAGCTACTCGGGAGACTGAGCAGGAGAAACGATTAAACCGGGACAGGGGTAGGCCACCAGAGGTGTCAGTGAACCAAGATCGTGCCACTTCACCCCAGCCTGGGTGAAAGAGTAAAACTCCATTGCACAAAGGAAAAAAAAAACACTGAAATGGACAGCTGAGTACATGTGAAGCTAACCCTGTCCTAACAAAAGCCCCCTGCATCTCTTTTTTGAGATGGAGTTTTGCTCTGTCACCCAGGCTGGAGTGCAGTGGCACAATCTTGGCTCGCTGCAACCTCCGCCTTCCAGTTTCAAGCGATTCTTCTGCCTCAGCCTCCGAAGTAGCTGGGATTACAGATATGTGCCACCACACTTGGCTAATTTTGTATTTTTAGTAGAGATGGGGTTTCTCCATGTTGGTAAGGCTGGTGTTGAACTTCTGTTAATATCCCCACAATCCCTTTTTACATCTTTGACCTTCATTTTCCTCATGTAGGAAATAGGATAAATGGCTTTCCGAGATCTACTCCCTCCCTGCAGCTATATCAGATGACTAAGGTATACCATGTTCTCAAGGAAAAGTGCTTTACAAATAAGCATCTGATCACCAGCAGACAACCGCAGAGTGTGAAGACATTCAAATCAGGAGCAGGCCTCCTAGAGAAAGCGATCTGCAAAGGCTGAGACAGCTACTGCCATCTGCTTCCTACGTTTGTTTCATGGAGCACCAAGGAAAAAGGATTCAGTATTTCCAGTTACTGAATTACAGAGCAGACGCGGGAAATATTCCTTGGATCAGTAAATAAACATATATCCCCATCTCCACCTGCCAAGGAGGACGAGGAAAGTTCCTTGCCCGTGTGCTTCAGTTTATTTCTGCCTTGAACAATTCTCTCTCTATAGCTCAAATGACAGAGAAGAATGCCTGTATGGGTTCTTACCTGTCTAACACATGCTAGGCATTAAGATGGCATCTGCTACAGTTAGAAAGGTGGAGCTAAAAGCAGTTACCCAAGCATGATGACAGCCAAGTGAGAGAAAGCTGGGTACGTGAGAAGTGCAACCAAGCACTCACAAGTGAAATGCTGTGGGCTCAGCAGACACCATGCAAACAGCTCTGCTACCAGGGAGTGCTCAAGGGCACTAATTCCAAAGGACAGGCTCATGATCATTAACAGTGAGACCCCTAACAGTGTCACTCCCAGAGTTACATAAGCCGGTGGATGCTCCTCCCAGTTGTCTTTTCACCAGACCAAAACCAGTAAGTTATGTAACAATCCTAAAAAACATTGCGGCACGAAGATTTCTAAAAAATACAGCCACGAGAAAAAGGAACTGACAGGGCAGACATGATAGAAGGTTTAACGTGCATTAAATTAAGCCCAAACAAATCCTCACTTTCTGATGATGGCAGGAAACAGACGAGGAACCACTTTGGGATATTTAAAATCAAGGATGGTCTCATTGTCCTGAACCTGCAGCAGAAAGCTCTGCAGCTGCCAGCAAACATGATGGGAATGAAACCGCATGTGACTGTGGGAGTGTGAACATGGCAAGGGCAGTGATCACCTCTGAAGACTGAGGGAAATGCAAGGCCGTACCTTAGTGCCCTGGGAAGGAAATGCTTCTTCAAAATCAGCCAGGATTTGCTGTCCTAACTCAGTCTGCGCAGCCTTCACTCTGTGAGGGAGAGAGAACATATCATCATCTGGCATGATATCCTGAAGTAACTGTGCACCGATCCACAGGGTCGAACAGCTAAAGTCTTTAGAGAGGCCAGGAAGGGTACAGAGACGTGCACGAGGTGAGAGGTCACACGCTAGCTGAGTGGGAGGTTAGTGAAAGGCCAGGAAGGGTACAGAGACGTGCACGAAGTGAGTGGTCACACGGTAGGTGAGTAGGAGGTTAAAGAGATGCCAGGAAGGGTACAGAGATGTGCACGAGGTGAGAGGTCACATGCTAGCTGAGTGGGAGGTTAAAGAGAGGCCAGGAAGCGTACAGAGATGTGCACGAGGTGAGAGGTCGCACGCTAGCTGAGTGGCAGGTTGATGAGCAGACTCAGGCATCCAAGGTATTCTCCAAGGTATTCTCAGGGTGAATTTTCTACATCCCCAAAATTCTTCTAGGCCAACCCTTTACCTGAGGTTGTGTTAATTTTTCTACAATTCTATTAGGGGTTAGTTATGCTGTGGGAAAATGTTACAGAATCACATCCAAATCGAACATAAATCTAGCTGGGCGCAGTGGCTCATGGCTGGAATCCCAACATGTGGGAGGCTGAAATGAGGCCAGGACTTCAAGACCAGCCTGGGCAACACAGAGAGATCAGTCTCTACAAAAAAACAAACAAAAATAAAAAGCACCCAGGTGTGGCAGCACACACCTGTACTTGGGAGGCTGAGGTTGGGAGATATCTAGAGTCCAGGACTTTTAGGATACACTGAGCTATGATCATACCACAGCGCTCCAACCTGGGTGACAGAGCAAGACCTTGGCTCTAAAACAAAACAAAACACAAACAAATGACAAAAAAATATATATCCATTTTGGATTGCTGATATAACTGTTCTTCTACTCCTTGGAGTACAGAATGGGAAGAGAGCTTCATGGTATTTTAGGGTGTTTTTAAAAAAATCATTATGTGTGAGGTATGTTAAGTGACAAAAAAAATTATTATGGGTATGTAATCACTGTATATATTTATGGCATACCTGTGAAGTTTTGATATAGGCATAAAACATATAATGATCAAATCAGGGTAATGGGTATCCATCACTCCAAGTTATGTGTTACTTCTCTGTGTTAGGAACATTCCAATTCCAATATTTTAGTTATTTTTAAATATACGATAAATGACTGTTAACTATAGTCACCCCACTGGTTCTACAAAATCCCAGCTCTCATCATTCTAACTGCATGTGTACCCACCAGCCATCCCCACTGTGTCCCTTGCTCCCAGCTGTGCCTCCCAGCCATGGCAACCATCATTCCACTGTCTATCTCCATGAGCTGACTTTTTCAATGTTTGGCTCCCACAGATAAGTGAGAAGAGAAGAAATTTGTCTTCTTGTATCTGGCTTATTTCACTCAATACACTGTCCTCCAGTTCCATCCACAGTGTTGCAGTGTTTGGGGGTTTTTGTTAACCTGGAAACCTACAAGCTCATAAGTTTTTAAACAAATGAGTGAAAAGAATGTTTTCCATAGCAAAAACAAAGAAAGTGAGAACCACTGAATGACAATTCAGGTTCAGAAGTTTGTAAATATGAAAACAGAACTGCAAGGAAAAGCAGTTAGAAAGGGGAGGCTCAGGCCTAGTGGCTGCGTGTACACTAGGAGCTCAAGAACTGTTTGTTCACTGGAATGCAAGAGCAGAAAGAAGCTGCCAGGATCCTGCCCCACATCGACTCCGCCCTGCAGTTGATCCCACCCTCTCTGCGTCCCCCACCAGCTGCCAAACGTAGGTCACCACCCTGTACCACCAGGCCAGCCTTGCAGAGCTGGAGTGGCACAAGACTCTCAGGCCCCACTGGACTTCCTGAGCCTGAGGCAAATAACTGTCTGGTTGCTAAAAGTACCACAGAAGAGCACACTTCCATTCTTGGTCTCTACCCTGTTCCTTCAGAATTAATGTTATGAAGTTTCTAGAAAGAGTGAACAGCTCAAAACTACAATTTCTTTGGCTACTAAGGAGTGTCTGGCAACTGCTGAGATGTTTTTTTTCAAATGAGGGGATAGGCATGACCCCAAAAAGTGTTTTTCTGTGGCATGGTTATAATTACACCTTATTCCAAATACTTTCCAAGGTTTTCCCAGTATCTTCAGAACTTTGTAAACCACTCTTACAGGTGGGTTTGTAGCCTTTTTAGTCAGTTCTCAAGGGGGCCAGAAATGGCCCAGATGAGGCTATTACTGGAACTGTCCCCACCTCCATTCAGAAAAAGGGCCATTCATCTAGAGCTGCCACCCAGGCAATGGGAAACATTCCCCAAGTGTGAACTTTGACATGGGAGAAAAGAATAAAACAGCACCTTGGAGCATCCTGTGACTCCCACGTCATGAGCCAGCATACAGTCTCCTGTGGTGCCAGGTCCCAAGACAGAGGCTCAGGCCCCTTTGCTCCTGCCCTCTTCACGGAAGCACACAGACAGCCCCCGTTCCCTGCTAAGCCACAGAAACTCCTGAGGAAAAGGCGCCCCTCCCCGATCTGGCCAGAGCACTCAGTCACATTCTCAGGGCTACTGACCATCTCAGTGACACTGATGGGCTTGGCCCTGCCTGTGGCCCAAGCTATTCCCTACTCCGTATTCTTGCTGACTCTGAAAGGAGTAACCAGAGTGGCAGAAAGGAGAACCAGAGCCTATGATGGCACTTGGTATCACCAGAGTAAAAAAAGAGGAAAAATTCCCAGTCTCTCTGATTTGTAGACCTCCTTGTCATGGTCTTCATCTTCAAAGTCACCTCTTGAGACAGGCTAGACCCGGCTACGTTACAGTGAGCTAGGTAATCCCAAGTCACTTCCTCTCCGTGGGTTACAACTTGCAACAGCTGTGAAATAAGAGGGTGGGGCTGGCAGCCCATACAAAATGATTCTGTATCCTCACCAGTACTAATTATTCCACAACACCCATCTTACAGTGTTAGCTGACTTTACAGGTGGCACTGGGTTAGAGGCATGCTTAATCCTGGAGCAGAAGGATATGCCTCTGCATATAAATGTCAATGTTTCCAATAGCAGTTTTTGAAGTGCCTATCAATGACCCGGATGAAAGATCCAACCATTCCCTTAGACATCACTGATGGTCTCTATAGACCCAAACCTCAATCCCATGCATTTTTAGGGTGAGATACGAATTGTAGTCCTTATAATCAATTGCTTAAACAGGACGATAGAAAGAAGTCAACAGACTTAAAAGACTCTATCTTTAGCTTCATTCCTTTAAACTCCATCTCTCTTCTAAACATGAAAAGTTCCTACTATAAAGAGATAGCTCAACTGATAACTGTCAGCAGAGCAAATATATGTGCTGAACCACCAAGATTTCCTAGTAAACAGATAAAGGAATGACTAGGAACCTAGAGGTTGAGGCTGCAGTGAGACTTGACGGCATCACTATATGCAGACTGGAGTACAGTGGTGCAATCAAGGCTCAGTGCAGCCTCAACCTCCAGGGCTCAAGCGATCCTCCCTTCTCTCAGCCTCCTGAGTAGCTGGGACTATTGGTGTGCACCTCCATGCCCAGCTAATTCTTGTGTTTTTTCTACAGATGGAGTTTTTTGCCATGTTGCCCAGGCTAGTCTCAAACTCCTGGACTCAAGCAATCTGCCCATTTCGGCCTCCCAAAGTGCTAGAATCATAGGCGTGAGCCACCACTCCCAGCTGATTTCTTAGTCATTCTTGTGAAAGTCAGCCTACAACTCACAGAGAACAGGGAAACAAAGATTCCTCCTGGCATCCAAATAAGTTCAGCCTTCTTGAACAGTGGAACCCAAAACTGGTCACTCTTCAAAAACAAAAGAGTCACTGTGCTGCCCAGGAAGGAAAGTAAATCCAATGGCTTCTAGTATCCTCCATGCCACACGACTGCAGAGCTGTTCAAAGGTGCCTTTTCCTAAAGGTGTTCTCAGCTTTTCCCAAGAAGCAGCAGCAGACAGACAGCAAATTATCAACATTGTTTAGGTATCTGTGGATAAAGTAACCCTGACACTTTGGTTACCTTGTGAGTGACAGTCCCATAGAAAACATCCCAAATAGTTCCGAAATCAATATACTGACCTCCCAAAAACACAGTCTCTTCTAAACAGCAGGGTTAATTAGGCAAGCTGCCACAGTTCTACAAGGGCACCATAAAGAATCTCAGCCTAGCATCTTCAGTGAGCCAGTGAGACACTGTGGAATCACCAGGGACGGCACTCACACTGGGAAACTGAGATGACCAGGAACAGCACTCACGGTGGGAAACTGAGGTCACCAGGGACGGTGCTCACACTGGAAACTGAGGTCACCAGGGACGGCGCTCATGCTGGGAAACGAAGATCACCAGGGACGGTGCTCACACTGGGAAACTGAGATCACCAGGGACAGCGATCACACTGGAAAACTGAGATCATCAGGCACGGCACGGCGTTCCACCAAGAAAGGAGGAGGCCCAGAAAGAGCTCACTCAAGTCATTGAGCTCGGCAGCCTGTCCATTCCAAGGTGGAGTTCTTTTTTCACTGCACCATGAGACCTGCCAAGCCTTTCTCATGTTTACAAGAAACGCTTGTAACATTTACAAGATGTTAAAATTTTAGTTCAAGAGTTTCATGGTTTTCAAGAGAATGTTACTATCTTCCATTCTTTGTTGGGAAATATTAACTGATGACTAAAAACATTCACTTTCACGGACATGCTTAGGTCAGGAGAATATGAAACATGAAGATACTAAAGAAAAAAAATCTTTCCTTCAATGCTACATTTAGCAAGTAAGCATTTTCCAGAAGGCTAGTTGGAAGAACGAGCTATGTTCAAATCAAGGCTCATGAACTTTGTATTTCAAATGGACAGGAGAAGATTTCAGAACACAACTTTTCCCGTGACGTCTACAATAGAGAGCAAGACAGTAAATCAGAGAAACTGAAGCAATGCAGAAGATAGTAACTCACCTGCCATCTCCTGCCCCTCAAAACAAATAGCTAG